CAGAGACCGCCGCAGGCAGATGGGTGAGATGGCTGTGCGCGGGGCGGTGGTGGAGGTCTGGGTCGGGTCAGGGTCTGGGTCGGGTCAGGGTCTGGATCAGGTCGGGTCAGAGTCTATGTGGGGCCGGGCGGGGTGCGTTGGGACGCAGGGCCGCCCCGCAGGCAGAGGCCCTGGGGTTGGAAGGGACTGGCCACCTCCCTGAAGGGTCTCTGGACTCCCAGGGTCGCCAGACCACACGGTGAGAACTGCGGTCTGTGGTGTAAATTGAATGGTCACTGAATGCCAAGTCCTGGGGGAAGTTATGAAAGAAATAAAAAATTAAGCCGGATAATCTTGACATTAAAATGAGAACATAAGTATGTTCATTCAGTTCAGTGTGTGAAACTAAGGAAGGACAAATGGAGACATGAGTGCACCGAAGCTACAGAACAGTAAACACACACACACACACACACACACACACACACACACACACTCTAGGTCTCAGAGTGTGTGCGTGGGGTCTACCTTTGACGGACCCAGGCAGCTATGACCCCAAATCGCACCCCTGCCATGGCTCTGGAGACCACCCTCCCAGAGCAGACAGGTTGCTGGGGAGTTTGGGATGACCAGAGGCCTGTGGGGGCCCAGGGGAGAGGGTGGCTGAGAGGAGGGGAGGCTTGGTGGGGGACCTTGAAAGAAGGGCAGGATAGAGCTATTGGGGAAGTTCCTCCAGGTTGAGATGGGACAAAGATTGCCCCCCCAATGCCGCTGAAGGATGCTGAGACAGCTGGTAGAATGCGCCCGGTCAGGGCTCCCAGCAGGCCTCTGGCAGGAATGGCACAGGGCAGGGCAGCTTTCCTGTGCCGCATTGGCTAGACTGAGCTCTAGATGTGCTCCCAGGGCCCCGAGACTTTCAAAGCTTCACACACCTGTTCCGCTCTATCATTTTAATGGATTTATTGTTGTTGTTTTTTGATAACAGACTTTAATGAAGTATAATTTATATGCAGTAAAGTACACAATTCCTAAATGAATATTGCTCGGTACCGTTTTGCATAGGATTCTGTGTCCTCGCTGCCCAGGTAAAGACAAGGAGCTTTTCATCCCACCAGTAAGTTTTCCCAGGCTCCTTCCCACTGAACAGCTTTCCACCCCTACGCTCAGAGTAAACTACTGTTCTGTCCTCTGTTGCCATAGATCAGTTTTGTTGGTTCTTGAACTTCATCTACATGGAGACTAAACAACATGCTACTAAACAATCAATGGATCAAAGAAGAAATCAAACAAGAGATCAAAAGTCCTTTGAGACAAGTGAAAATGAAAATACAACTTTCCAAAATGTATGGGATGCAGCAAAAGCAGTTCTAAGAGGGGAAGTTCATAGTTTTACATGCCTACCTTCAGAAACAAGAAAATAATTTCAAATAAACTGCCTAACTTTACACCTAAAGGAACTAGAAATAGAGCAAACCAAACCTAAAATAAGTAGAAGGAAAGAAATAACAAAGGTCAGAGTGGAAATAAATGAAACAGAGAATTAAAAAGCAGTAGAAAAGATCAATGAAACTAAGAGCTAGTTCTTTGAAAGAATAAATAATATTGACAAATCTCTAGCCAGACTCATCACAATAAAAAGAGAGCACAAATAAATAAAGTCAGAAAGAGGAGAGATTTCAACCGACAACACAGTAATACAAATGATCATTAAAGAATACTATGGATAATTATATGCCAACAAATTGGACAACCTGGAAGAAGTGGATAAATTTCTAGAAACATACAACCTTCTGGGACTGAATCAGGAAGAAACAGAAAATCTTATCAGACTGATTACTAGCAAATGAAATTAAGGCAGTAATAAAAAAATCTACCAACAGCCGTAGCTGGTTTGGCTCAGTGGATAGAGCATCGGCCTGTAGGCTGAAAGGTCCCAGGTTTGATTCCAGTCAAGGGCATGTACCTCAGTTGCAAACTCAATTCCCGGTCCAGTAATAAAAAAAATCTACCAACAGCCGTAGCTGGTTTGGCTCAGTGGATAGAGCATCGGCCTGTAGACTGAAAGGTCCCAGGTTTGATTCCAGTCAAGGGCATGTACCTCAGTTACAAACTCAATTCCCGGTCTTGGTCAGGGCAACCAAATTGATGTTTCTCTCTCTCTTCCACTCTCACTAAAAACCAATGGAGAAATATCCTTGGGTGAGGAGTAACAACAAAATCTACCAACAAACAAAGCCCTGGACCAGATGGCTTCACAGGTGACTTTTACCAAAAATTTAAAGAAGAATTAATACCCACCCTTCTCAAACTATTCCAAAAAATTGAAGAAAAGGAATGCTTTCTTCAAACACCTGCCTGACCCCCACCCTGGCACCCCCTGGCCTCTGTATGAACAAGAGGACCTGCAGACCTGACACTGACCATGGGGCCTGGGGCATTGTCCTTGCCCCATATTTTCTAATCACCCCCTCCTCACTCAGCACCCCCCCCCCACACACAGTCACACTGTAAAGAAGAAAGCAGGAGGTGGTGCACCTGCTGGGTTCTGGCAAAGCAGTGGGCAGAGACTGGTCTGCGAGAAGCAAAGAGCCCCACTGAGGCCCAGGGCCACTGGGAGCTCCGTTTTGAAGTTTGAAAGGCTCACACCATGCTTACCTTTGCAGCCACTTCCCCTGTGAGACATTAAATTGGGGGCTGGGTCCACGAACCATTAGGGGAACAGAGTCCTCCAGAACAAACCTTGCTCATTCTCTTTGGCCCCCAGGTGCTGGGCAGAGAGCAGGGTCCTCAGGGGCTGCTGAATGGGAGCTGGTTGGGCTCTACCCAGCGCACCTGCCAGGCAGCCGGGCACTTCCCTGGTCCGCACCTGCCTGGCCTGGTGTCTGCCTTTTGCCCGCCCTCCCCCACCACCTGGCCCAGGGCGTACTGCCTGGTCCTCCGCCCTGGCACTGGCCCTGGCGTGTGGGAAGTCCCCAGTCACCTGGCAGCTGCCGCCTGAGGCCAGGAGGGCAGGGAGCAGCACCTGGAAGATGAACCTGAAGGCTGCCGGTGAGTGCCACCTCCACCGCCAGAGGAGGAAAAGGGGCCACTGTCCCGGGAAGAAGTGCCCCCTCTCTGTCCCAGGGACCACCCGCTGAGCCAGAGGGTGGGGCCCGTCCTCTCTCTGACCTGGGACTGGAATGCGGGGAGCGAGTGCCGAAGAGGGAATAGGCTGGGGTGCGGAGCAGGCAGCCCTGGCCTTCCCCTGCCTGTCCCCACTGGCCCCCTGGGATTCCTGGCAGGGGGACCAGTGAGGGTGATGTTTGGACTGGAAAGTAGGTTTGGGAGAGCACAGGCAGAGTGAGACTCAAGGAGCTGGGGTGGGGGTCCTTCCAGGGGAGAGCCGGTGCCTGAGGGGTGCCGCCCCACGCCCTGGGCCAGCAGGGGGGCTGCCAGCTGCAGATCAGAGGCACTCGGGGACTTCCCCTTGGACTCCCCTGCTGAGCCAGGAGTCTTCAGCCACACGTCCAAAGAGTGGGCAGTGAGGTGGGTGAGAAGTGGGGTCTGGTTCGCAGAGAACGCTCCACTGTCCCGGGTTCTAACCGTCCAGCAGCAGCTTTTAGAGGCTGGTTTTATTTTTTCCATTTATCAAGCTATTTGAGATGGTGGGATGTTTGGGGAAAAAATAGGAAAGAAGAAAGGAAAAAGGCATTTATTTCCTCGGTCATGTTCTCTCTGAAAGCCTGTCTTTCTGATGTGGCCTCTGCCCTCTGCCGCGAGCCGGCCTGGGGTCGGTGGGAACCACCCCCTCGCACACGGCCTTCCTCCTGCTGGTGCTGTTTCCTTCTGTCGCCAAGGAGTCTGGGTTCTGCCTGGAGCAAGGCAGCATATTTGTGCAGGAATGGAAAGTTCTCGGCCTCTGTGAGGGCACCCCCCGTCTCACTGGCCATTCGGTGTGTGTCAGACCAGCACTTCCCTCCAGTGTGGTCACGTCCAGAAAGTTCTAAACACCACCTTTCTGCTCCGTTCCCAAAGTGCCCGAAAGCCAAATGTTAAGGTTTTTTTAATTGACGGTGTAAAACAGTCCTGTTTCCTACAGAGCCATGTATTTAAGAACTGTTGTAGGTAACGTGTTGGATCGTAGGATAAACAGGTGGAGATATGTATCTTTTGGGGGGAAGAAAACACCTCCCTCGGGCACTGAATTTCAGTAGCGCGATCTTGGAAGAATTTTTCATTCTTTCTCTGTTACATACTTAGAACATCATGTTGCTGCTTAGTTAGTAGAAAATGCTGAATATGGTCCCATGGCCTTTCCCACCCACAACTTTTTTGCCCCCCACCCACCCCCCACTGCCTCCTGATTCACTCCTGAGCTGTGAGGTCCTTGCAGGGCAAGCTTTGCTGCAGCTCCCGGGGTGTGTTTGTCTGCGGGGAGGGGGATGGTGGGAGAAAAGTCACCTGCAGAAACTCAGAGCCGTGTCGCCGCTGAGTTTGTGAGCTAATGTTTGGCAAAGTTCCTGGAAGCGGTGTTTCGGTGGATCCATCCAGCGCCAGGTCGGGCCCGGGAGACAGCTCACCGGCAGGATGGGCAGGGTCAATGGATGGCATCCTCGCCAGCCCCCTCCACCTGTGATACACACCCTCCGGCCTCCTCAGGATTAGGGTCAGCGTGTCAGCCTTTGCAGGGGGGTTGCCTTGCACATCTGCTGTGGCATCCCGGTGTGGCGTTCCCCAGCCTTAGGACAGTGGCGACAGCAGAGCCCGGAGCCACAAAGCAGCCAAGTCCCAAGTACGGTCCATCCACCCCTCAGCCCTCCTGGCCCCTCGAGGACAAGAGGTATAGGTGGGGCCACCTCCAGGGTGAGGGCATGTGGTTTGTGCCCTCGGTTGAAGGAATCCCACATTGGCGGTGCGTTCAGAGGTGCTCTCATTGGGCCCTGGGACTGGAGGGGTGCGGCGGCCTGAGGTCCCCCCGCCTGGAGTCGATTTGAGGATCGCCTTCTTCCCCAGCCTTAGTGTCCGGGGCCAGCCTGAGACCCTGGGAACCTGCAGGTGGATGAGGGTGGGACACGCACACAGGCACAGGCACACACACGTATGCACACGCAGGCATGCACACAGGCACACATACTAATCGAGGGTCTCAAGGAGGAAGTTCCCCGACTTCCTGCCTGCGCTCGGGACTGGCCTTTGCTCTGAGGTGGAAGCACGTGAGAGGCCGTGTCTGATAGCCAGTGATGACTTTATTACCTTCGGGAAAAGGTTGGATCCTAGTTACGGAATCACCGAAGGTTCCTGGACTTTGTGTACTTCCTCCCCCTGCCCCGCCTCTGAAGCTGCTGGACCACTCCCACCAGGGCAGGGCCACTGGGACCAGGACCCCCTTCGCTGAGTCCCTGGACTTCCACCTTTCCCAAGACCGATCCTTACCTGTGCCGGCCCAGGGGCTACTGCTGCCCAGTGTCCCGCCTGCTCTGCGATCACCTGCAGGGACTGAGCTCCTGGTGCAGCTGTCCAGCCTATGGACAGGCTGGGCCTCGGGCAGTCTGGGCCTCGGGCAGGCTGGGCCTCGGGCAGGCTGGGCCAGGGGCAGGCTGGCCCACGGGTAGGCTGGGCCATGGTTCTCCAGGTGCCACTTGTCCCTCACCTCCTGGCTCCTATGCCTGCCTCCGTTTGGCGTCCTGGATGCTCCCTGACTGTGTTAGACCCGTGCCTGGGTTACGGATGGCTCAGCACCAGCCAGTGCCCCATCCTTGCTGCGGGACCTGCCCTCCCACATGTGGGGTGGCCATATGGTCTTGGCTTCCCCCAGCCACCACAGGAAACCAGGCTGTCCCAGCCCTGAGGTCATCCTGGCTCCCCTTCCCCAGCCCGCAGACGCCCACAGCCTTCCTAGGAGCCCTGGGAAGTGCGCAGGGAGGGGAGCTCACCACCTTGCAGGCGGCCAGCCCTGGTGTCTAGTTCCACTGGTGAGGACTGCGGGCTTTTCCTTCATGCGTTTCGCTCCCTGTCACTTCCACCTACTATCCTTGTTCAGCGGTGACAGGGCTGTGTCTTCCTTCCGTGCGGCTGCTCTTCACACATCTGAGAGGTAGCGTCAAGTTCCCTTTCAGCTTCTCCAAGCCCAACAGCAAGTCTTTGCTCGAAGACCTCATGCAACCGGCAGGTCCTCTGACTGGCCTCTGGCTGGCCAATTGCCTTCTTCACATATGACGCTTGGATGAAGTGGTCCAGCTGGGACTTACGCCGCGGCTGTGGTTTCCGCTGAACCTAACCGTTGAGGCTGACTCTGGGACTCCAGCAGTCACCCAGTGTGGCCCCAACAGCACTTTCCAGAACTTTCTGCGGCCCGTGCACCATCCTGGGTGTGAGGGCACAGTCCTGGAGGGAAGGGGCCCTTGGTGTGCCACACCAGCAAGGTGTGCGAATGGCTGCCATGAGGGCGCCCGTGCAGGCCACGGGGCTGCACAAGAGTGGGGCTCATGGCGGGTTGGGAGAGCCTGGAAGAGGAGAGGGGGTGGGTCGATGGGTTGGGATCCGTGCAGGAGAGCGTCCTGAAGCAGAGGACAGGCGCCGACAAAGCTGTTCAGCAGGAGAGGCCACACACAGCCGCAGCGGGTCACCACGCCTGCCACAGAGCCAACAGGATTCCAGGAAAGCGACCTCCAGACCCAGGGCTCTCCTCTGCTTTCTGTGGCTGCTTTTTCCAGCTGTGAGACGCCCGCCCCCCCACCCCCCCAGTCCGAGAAACGGCAGTGGCCACATGGTCCAGGGAGTTCGCATCAGGAAGCCCTCCCTGCGTAACGTTCTAACAATCTTGGGGGCTGCGTGGTTTGGAAAATAGAAAAAAGCATTGATGCTGAAATACGAACTCGGAAAAAGACCAAACTGTCGAGGGGAAATGGAAGCGTCCAGCTCCATGAGCGCCGCTGCCTGAGCTAGTGAGCCCACAAGCGCATACAGACTCCATCAGACACAGCAGTGGGGGGACCCCCGCCGCGCTCAGGGAAGGGGAAACCTGCAGGTGCAGGAAACGGCGGAGCTGAGGTCAGGGCTGAGCTCGGACAGTGACAGACGCAGGTTTGCGTGTCATCACCACCTGGAGAGGAGGAAGCCTGGGGTGGTGTGCTGGCGGGTTGGAGGCCTGCTTCTGTCAATGCCTGTGAACTTGGAAAAGGGGGGCTGGGAGAACTGCCCACCTGTCCCTGCTCAGGGTGCTGGGTGGGGAGACACCAAGCCCCTGACAGCATCCAGGTGTCCCACAATTCAGTGCAGCTCTGACACTGACCACCAGCAGTTAGTGCCAACCCTGCAGGTCAGGAGCGCAGCCCCTACCGGCCGCCCTCTCTTCAGCCGCCAGCCACAAGCCTGGAGGCCGCCCGCATGTGCCGCTGACCAGCTATGACCTGGGGAGTTCCCACAACTCCTCTAGGCTCCGTCGTTCGCTAGAACAACTGGCGGAGCTGGCCGGTGCAGTGCAAGCGGGACAGTACATGTGGAATGGAGGGCCAGCCCCGGAGAGCTGACGCCTGCCCCCACCCGTCCACTGAGCCGGGCAAGACGGGCCCCACGTCAGGTGTGGTGGCTCCCAAGGCCACTTGAGGAATCGATGACGTTAGCATCTGGGGAAGTTCTAAGACCCAAACCAGCAGTGAACATAAAAGCACGGCCTTGAAAACACTCATATCTTGTTCGTGTTGTCTGCGTCTGTCTGCCTCAAATGCCTGCCCCCAGCAAAGCCTACTAAGTCATCACGCATGTTGGCTCATTAAAGCAGCCCTGGGCCCTCGTCTGCCCCCACCTCCCAGGAGCACCCTGCTGACACCCATGGTTGTGGGGGGCGGGCTAGGAGAGTGGGGGGGCAGGGCTGTCTGGCGGCCGCTGTCCTGAGCATCCACACCCCGCATGTCTGTCCGCAGGCGCTCTGAGAGCCGTGCTCTTCATCTTCGCCTCCGTGTGCGCCTGGTACTCCGGGTACCTGCTGGCACAGCTCGTCCCAGAGGTGCCCCTGTCCAGTGCCATCTACAGCATCCGGAGCATCGGGGAGAGGCCCATCCTCAAAGGTCAGTGCCCGGGTCACAGCCCACTAGTAGCTGTGGCCCGGCTCCGGGTTGGCAGTGGGTTCTGGCCATTTTACGTTGGTGACGATGACGAGGGGGAGGAGATAACATCTTTCGTTTCCTTCCTTTCCAACCCCCCACTCACCCCATGTTAGGAAAACAAACAGAAAAACTTTACATGCAGGTTGTGTTAAATAAGAATGTGTTTGTTTGGAGTACAACTCAAATTGGGAATGAGGTGAAATGACCAAATAGCCATTAAAAATGGCATTTGGTAATGTGTGGACACTAAGAATAATCTGTACTCCTTTTCAAGATCTTGTGAACAGATATGCTGGTATCTTCAATACGGGAGTAAATTATTCAACATCAATTTGCACAAATATAGAGCACTGAGTAATGATAAACTATTTTTATAAAAGCCATTCCTTCTCAGATTGAATTACCTTTTATGGCAAACAAACAAACAAACAAAAAAATCACTTTCTAGGAATCGACTGTGACAGGGTTGTTTGTATTTGATAAGGTTTTCACAGTGAACTTGCCCGGAATCAGTAGACTAACTGCGTGCAGCCTGAGGTGGGGCCCAGCTCCATGGGAGCCGCGGCTTGAGCAGAGCACGGGAGACGCCCTCAGAGGACTCGCTCTCTCATTTTCCCCACAAAATCAGGAATCTCTCCTGGACACAGCTTCCCCTAGGAGCTGCCTCTGACGCCCGCCGTTTCGAAGGGCTCGTTGCCATGGTTTCTGTCTCCCTCCATCGCATGGCAAGGATGTCAGTTGAATAGCCAGCCATAGGCAGTGATTCCCAACTCTTAAACTTGTTCCACCTGCAAAACATCCCCTCCCTTTTGTATATTTGTTATTTTAAGACAAAAGCAGATTAAATTAACTTTGTGAGTTTAGGGGAATCTCTGAAGCTCCTATTGGTGGCCACCACTCCTATTGGTGACCCCTTCCCCACTCCTGTTTCTGCCCACGACCTTGGACCATGCAGGTATGAGTCCTAGGGCAGAGCACCGTTGTTCTTGGCCAAACAGTGGGCCCCTCCGATAAATCATCGCACGACCTGTTATGTTCTTGTTCATTACAGCCCCGGCCCCCAAGAGGCAAAAATGCGACCACTGGTCCCCGTGCCCCCCGAACACCTATGCTTACCGGTTGCTCAGCGGCGGGGGCAGGGACAAGTACGCCAAAATCTGCTTTGAGGATGAGCTGTAAGTAGCAACGAGAGGAAGGAAAACAGAGCCACCTGACCCCTTCCCTTCTCTGAGGCTGACCAAGCAGCCAGTCTGCCCCCAGCAGAGAAGGGCACGCCCTTGACCCTGGGCAAAGGCTGGGAGCATCTGGGCACTGAGAATGCCAGCCGTGCTCTCCGGGAGGATGTGGTTTGAGGCTGTGTCCCAGTGTTGAACTCTCATTTGGCAGCAGGTCAGACAAGCCTTAGCTCATACTCCGTGGCCTTCTCTGAATACGTGTCATGGCCCTTCAAAGTCATGGGAACAGAACGCAGGTTTTCTTCCATTTTGTTATATGATCCTCACAGATTAAAGCAGGTGTGGCTTCCCTTTCCAGCCCACACCTCCTGGTTGCAGGTCTGTGTGACTGCCTTGCCCACGAGAGAGCCGAAGTAAACCCTGAGCTTGGAGCTGTCCTAGCCTCAAGTGCACTCGCCCACCGGGGCGGGGCTGCCACAACAAAGAACATAGGCTGGTGCCCAAACAACAGGAATGCGTTCTCTCCCCGGTCAGCAGGCTGGAGTCCAAGATGGAGGAGTGGGCAGGGCTGGCTCCTTGTGAGGGTGGAGGGAGCACCTGCTCCAGGCCCCTGCCCTGGGCTGTAGGCAGTGGTCCTCTCCTGTGTCCGCATCATCTCCCTCTGTGTGTGTATCTGGGTCCAAATTTCCCCTTTTAAAAAGGACTCTGTTCGTACTGGTGCACTGATATGGGGCGATCTCTATGGCACTGCAGGCGGCCAGGCTGCTCTCGAGGCTGGCGCAGCTGGCACCCGGCACCGGGCATCCCTCTCCACCATCAGCCTGGGGTGACCTTTGCCTCCCTCTCTGGAGTTGCAGCCCCCATTTCCAGGATACACATCTCACTTTCTCAGTTTCCTCCCGTGTTTTGCTGGAGCACATCCTCTATTAACATCCCGAGAAAAGGGTAGAAGGAGAAGTGAAGTTTTTAAAGATTCTTCATGTTTAAAATATAGTCATTCCCCCTCACAATGAAGGGATAGTTTGTCTGAGTGTACATTTCTAAATTAGAAATGATCTCTACTTCGAATTCTGAGGTCATTGCCTAGAACCATAGTGAGCCTCCGACCGGCAATGTTCGAGTGTGGTAACCAACCGTGGGAATGCGCTTCTCTGGTCTCCAGACCCAGAGGCCCCATAGCTGCATTCTGAAACTTATAGCACGTTTGCTTGAGGCCATGCTTCCATGGGCTGCTCCGGTGATTAAGCATTGCGGTTCAATTCCCAGTCAGCGCACATGCCCAGGTTGCCGGCTCAGTCCCCAGTGGGTGGTGTGCAGGAGGCAGCCAATTGGTGATTCTCTCTCATCATTGATGTTTGTACCTCTCTCTCCCTCTCCCTTCCTCTCTCTGAAATCAATAAAAACATTGTATATAATAAAAGCCCAGCGACCCAACGGCGGAACGACCGAATGACCAGTCGACCAGTCGACCAGTCGCTATGACGCACACTGACCACCAGGGGACAGATGCTCAATGCAGGAGCTGTCCCCTGGTGGTCAGTGCGCTCCCACGGTGGGAGTGCCGCTCAGCTGACCAGGATGAAGGGCACTCCCACAGCAGCTGATCCCCACAGGCCACGCCCCCCACCATGCACCAGGCCTCTAGTATTTAAATAAAACATAATATAAAAAGTATTTATGACACTTGTTGATGATGGTAGGGCGGACTTTACTCAAGGTGGGCCATGGCACCCACTACAGGGACCTCTGCAGCGGGGTCTTGCAGTGGGAGAGAGAGATTGGACTTAACTCTGAGCACAGTAAGTGGGAATCATAGCCAAGGAGCAGGGTGCGGTCAGTGAACAGGAAATTACTAAGAGGAACGAAGCACCTGGGTGGAGGGAATTCTGGCTAAACTAATCTAGCAGGTTCCTTGCTGAAGGTGGGCTCAGGAGGTCAGGACTCAGCAGGGGTGGGGAGTGGAGGATGAGGAGCCCAATCCATAAGGAAGGTGATCCGATATCAAAGGCAGGGGGGTTCTAGTTAACCCGACTTAGCAGAATTCTTGCTAAAGCTGGACAATGCAGAGATAAACGCGGGAGTCCAAAAGTTAGGCCTCATTGAAAAAGAGCTCTGGGGAGCCGGGGTAGGGTTTGGGGAAGGAGAGAGTCTGCCGGCACCGGCACCGGGGGTCCCAGGCGGGCCCATTCCTGGGAGACAAGCACCAGGGGGCCCTGGCCTTGCTGAGCCCTCGCGAGACTGCAGGGCGGCCTGGTCCCCCCAAGCTGCTTCCCTCTTGTCTTCACTTCCGCTCGGACTTGCAATGTGGTCTGACCGGCTCTCCCCAGTCCCCGCCCCTCCCCTTCTTCCCTCGGAGGCCTTTCCCCTAATGAAGGCTCTTGTGCGGTCAGTCCTGTTCTGCTCTCTGCTTCTCTTAGGACTCAGAGTAGCCTTGACAAGCATGGCTGTTTCCCCGCCATCTGTCCAAACACAACATGTGGGCAAATACTTTGACGGTTGCCATTGTGTGAGCCGAAACTTGGGTTTCGGGTCAGATTTTTACTTTGTTATTGCTCTTGCTATGAGTGGATTGAGGATCTCTTTATGCTGAGTCCTTGTGTTTATTTTTTTTATGAACTATCTTTTCATATCTCTTGCCCATTTTTATTTCTGCCATTGGCCATTTTTATTGATTGATAAGATCCTTTATATATTGGTGTTGTAAAGATTTTCTCTATATGTTGTCTTTACATTTATTAAAAGGGCATTTTTAAACATGCCTGTACCTTAATTAATGTATGACCTTTAAAAAAACAAAGAAACTATAGCCATATAGTAAAAGCAAAATTTTAAAAAGCAACAAAAAAACATCTCTTATGGCCCACCCCTTCTACTTCAGATTAATAAAGCAGAACAATGAATGCTCATGAGGTGGTTGAGGACTCAGTGGAAAAAAAAAAGTTTGTAAAAAGCCTGTGCTAAACAAATCTGAGATTGTCCTCTCCCTGGACATTTGTCTAAATTATAAGATTCAGTGCAGCTTCCAGGTTCCCTGAGGGACTTGGGGAAGATGTGTGTGGAGGAGTGTGGGGGTGACTGTCAGGGCAAGTCAACGAGGGAGGGAGCGCGGTAGGTGACAATGGTATTGGCAGCGACTGTCTTTTCAGTGACAATGGTAGTGGCAGCGACTGCCAGGAGAAGATTTTGGGGGGGGGGGGGGGGGGGGGTGTGCGCT